TATACTGCTGTAGAAGAAAGAATCAAAGGAGTGCCTCTGACTGCCTCAACTTCCATGAGGCTTGATTGGTAAGTAACCTTTGAGCTCACAGAGTCAGGTGAGGCATTGCCCCTCAATGCCTCACCCTGCCTACGCCTATGGATACACACCGACAACTGGCCCATTGACAGGACTTCTTGATGATGATGATGATGATGAAGATGATGAAAAAAGGTGGTTGAGCAAAACGGCGGGTTCGCCGATTTTTGGCTTTTCTCTTAGACAGGGCCTAGAGCCACGCTATGGGTACCAATGGAGTCCTCTGGTCAAGATGAGGTCCTCTAAGAAGTCCGGTAAGCATAGGAGCTCGTTTTCCCGGTATAGCAAGGCTGCAAAAGTCGTGTCAGCCATTTTGTTCGGGGGTGAATCCTACTTAGTAACGCTACCGCGTTACTAATAAAAAATAAAAAAAAGATTGAATAGGATTGACTTTGTGCTAATTTGTCAATAAAGTAATGGAAACAAGGACAAGTAGGATTCTGAACGACCAACAAACACACAAAAAGAGGTGGTACAGTGCATAAATTATTTGTCCGAAACAACTCCAACTTTCAAAAAATGTAACAAAAATTTGGGATGATTTCTGAGCCATTTTTTGAAAAAAACCATGGGTTTATAGTACAGGGTATTTTAGCATATTCTTAAAGTGGTTGCATGTGACTTGACAAATTGAAGTTGGAATCAGCTAAAATAAAAATTTATTGATCAAAAAGTTCTGTTATTGCCCACCTCTAAGAGTTTAACAGTCCAATGACCATTCATACTACTTGACTATAATACAATGAATAAGTGAATATGTACAATATGTACATGTACAGTGTATACTATTATGATAATTCATTGTCTCCAGGTATTTCCTTTGTGAGTTACTACTGCTTATCACAACCCACACCAGCCACTATCACTATTATACTCACACACACAGGACAATGTTCATAATACAGAAATTACGTGTGATCTATTAGAATCAGTTCAAACTTTCTACACAGCATAAGGACTTCAATATGTATCAAAAATGTAATAAAAATTTGGGGTGATTTCGGAGCCATTTTAGAAAAAAAATGGTCTATAGTCTTGGGTAATGTTGTGCAGTGTATCTGTTGGTCCCATCATTAACCAGTACATTACAAAACGGTTCATTTGGTTCCAGTGGTAGCTGATCCACTCCATTTGATGTATCCAGTCTTCGGTCACCTCACAGGTACAATCCCATCCATAGATCACAATATAATAATCATACCTACAATGAACATGTACATGTATAACATTTATTAGTGCAGTAATATCCTATACCACTTTATTTTGGTGACTTTGCTCTAAAAATGTAATTGGAGGTTTTTCATTTGGTGGTTTTTGAGTACACGTGCATCACTGATCATGGACATTAATGATTGGTGGGTTTAATATTGGGGGGACTGAACTGGCAAATCACCAATTGCAAAAATAAAACTCCACAAAATTAAAGCTCCCACTGGTAGTATTAATAATAGATTCACTGACCTAATGTGGTTCATTATTAATCTTGTGTCATATTGAATTGTACTGGATCAACTGATTCAACCTATAGTAATAATAATAGTTAGTATTATAATTATAATAATTTGGTAATGTCCATGTACATGTACTTCAATTTACAACACTTCTTCTTGGCCCCTAGCCCCACCTCTCTCACCCTGGTTGGTTCTTCAAGTGGTTTCCTCTTCCTGTCCAACAGATAATGTCCTCTTTGTAGTTTAGTTAACACGTGGGCCATGCTACACTCAAGGACCATATCTGATAACACCCAAACAACCTAACAACAACAATAAACAACAACAAATGACATGTTATTATGTACATGTACATGTACCATACATGTTGCATTACAAGTACTCCTATCATCTAATGCTTGCTACCTAAATTACCATAACTTGTACAGTAGCTTTTTAAAATGGATTGTTTCTTTCAGTATTCCTTTAAAATAATAGTTCAATTACCTTCGGCCAACGTAGAGTATTACATGTATATCTACATGTAAATGTACATAACATGTGTATCATTAAGACGTTAAAGTCATGTTTATACATGTATATACTAGTAGAGGTACTTGTTAGAGGTTAAGCCTCAGGTGGGTCCAATGTTAGCTGAACTGATGAGACTTGACAAGTTAAGGGACTCACTGGAGACACCAACATAAGGAGAGGGAGAGAGAAGAGGAAGACAAGAGGACCGACCCTGTAATTAAGACGAATAATTAGTAAAATATAATATGTATTTAAAAAAATTGAGATTGTAATAAAAATGAAGAATTATCTACTTTTCATTTTCGGCAAAATGTGGCCAACGACCCTGTAATACTTTATAGGGACTTTCGTCCTATTTTAAGCAACTTAAAAATTTATAATAAATCTAATTTTGATTAGAATCAGCTCAAAGTTTCTACATAACAAAAGTACATATACATGCACATCTTACCACTGGTTCTTTTCATTGTTCCATTGTCTGCCAACATCAAAATTAATAGAACTTCTCAAATAAATATTAGCAACCATCTTTATGATGGCCTATGAAAAAATTCTTAATAATGTACATACCTGTATCTTATCTTTTTGAATCCACACAGTTGATCACACAT